ACTTTGGACCGCACAGGTCTGGGAAGATGCACGTCTGAGGATGAAGTGAATGGTTTTTGTTGATAAGGAACTCGGCTAACCGAATACGCTTGAGGAAGTGGAAATGCACGCACTGCCCGTTGCACATCCGGATCCAGATTTCGTTGGTGTACGTCAACAGGTCAGGTTTCGTACACTTGTTGCAGAGTTTCCACAATTTCGCACTTCTTAGAACTTTGATGTAGATGCAGGTATGAATACAAAACGCAAGGATAAATCTTTTTTTTGGCTGTGTGGAACAAATTACCGTGAGGTCAACAGAATTGCCGCAAACGTTGCAAAATTGTACAGCTTTAACATCGTGAGAGCCCGTTCCCTTCTACTCTGGTTCTGGAGAAAAACAATCCAAGTGATGCGCAGAATGCTGGTTTTGGAGAAAAATCGAGGAAGAAAGAGGATATCATTTCGAAGGTGAGGTATTCTTAGTGGTGGTTGACGTTTTACCAGGTTCTTTTGTGAGCACATATTTAGTGGGCAGCGAAACGCAGTAAACGTGCCAGGATTAGTCCTGATCGATGATTCAGGTGATGAGAACGAAGATGAAAAGAAAGATGAAGATGTTGAAGTTGATCACAGAGGTGAGTGAGGTCCTTGAAGTCCCTGCATAGTGAATTTCCATCTGAATGTTCGTTCTAAACACAGAATTGGAAGATGATTGTTAGGTCTAGAGGGGACAATGGTTTGTTAATTGAGCCCATCTCTTTTGGAATGCGGAGCTCTCGAACTTCTGCAGTAGAAGTCACAGAGATGCGTGGAGGTGACGAGAGTATAGGGATAAGCACAATGTAAAGGCAACTGTAACATTTCTAGGTAGAACTGTCTTAGATTGTAATAAGGCATATACGTTTTCTTGAAGCAGTTTTATATAACCACGTCAGAGCAGGAGAGTGCTCGTTTTCCGTTTTTTCAGAATGAACAGATCACTGTCTTTTTACGGTAATGTATTTCTTAGGCCATGTTTAGTAATGCCGACCAAGCAATCTATGTTAGTAATGATTTCCAAACACGTGTGGATGAGACTCAGAAAGAACAAGAAGATAATGTGTTAATGGATGGAGAAAGAGGGCACGTGGGCTTTGTTTTGCTTGTTTGGTTAACCACTGTGTAGCAAATCGTCTTCTCATCCAGACAACAGGCAGACTTGAATGTGCTGACACACTACGAACGGTTTGGCGCACCATTCCCGACTCTACAGAAAAACTCTGACAGAAATACCACTTGGAGGGATTTTGTGCTACAACCCGCTCTGGTTCTTTGTAAGGCGAGCCGCCTAAGTTATGTGTTGCAAATTATACCTTAAAATATATTTCTGCTGGTGTTTTTCTTTTTCAGTCGATAACGAATATTTCAGGTGTTGTGGTATTCAGTGCTGTGAATGTGCTGGTGAGAAGTACAAACTACACAAGACCATGTTTTTATTCATGTGTTTTTCGTTTATTTCTCACTTTGCTGCATTGCCACTTGTTTGCAGTTGTTCATAACATTGGTAGAATACTCGTATATTAATCACAACGATGCTGAGATATGCGAAAAAATTGAACCTCGGGCCAGGTCGAACCGCGGTTTCCATTTCCGGGGGCTCGCGCATTACATAGAAAACTAGTTGATAGGAACGCAGAGCAGAGGCCTCCGTGTCACAGTGTGCAATGCGTGGGCCACAGGAAAGGGAAATCGTGGGTCGATGTGACCCCGGGTCCAAGTTTTGCGAATGTCTCAGCATTGTTGCGGTTGATTTCACATAATACCCTTCCATAAGAATTGTAGTAAGCAGTAAATAAAGAACTAAAACACGTAGATTAATTTTGATACTCTAGTGTAACACTGGCACAAAGCAACAGGGAATAAGATATCAAAGCACCAAAGCTATTCCATTTAAAACGAAGGGACGTACGTCAGCTGATGGGAAATCGGCCTGGAGCGGACTTTGGCCAGGCTGACCTCGGGACTCCAGAGAACCACAATGACTAAATTTACAAAAGTGCAAAAAAATGTATTGTGAAGGGGCCCGCACAGACAGAGAGGATGGGCCATCCAAGTGTCCATTTGCGGTGAAGAATGTCGAGAAGTGCATGCTGTCGACGATAAGCAACTGTGTTTTGTGTGTTGACTGTTCTTTAGGTAAATGGTGAAACATTACCTTTTTCGATATCGCGCAGTTGATCTCTACATGGTTTTGGAAAAACATCGTCCATGCAACTACTTGTCTGCAGCATATGAAATTCGTCAGAGGAGGCGAAAGTGTCCTAGAAGTGTAGCTATTCTCACCTGAATTAATCTAGAACGTTTAACAAGGTTTTCTTTTCCAGACGTGCTAGGCGTAGTGCATAGTTTTCGTAGAAATCTAGATTCGTGTCCGGTAACGAAAGTGCTACGGTCGAATGGAAATTGTTGAGATGCTAAAAACGAAATACCACGAGGACTGGAAGTGAGCTCCGTAATGTTCGGAGAATCTGTTCTTATAGACGTCTTTTCTATGTAAATCGCTTTTGATTCTATTACCATTTTACTGCCTTTAGAGCGGTTATGTGGCCATCGGTTAAAGTTCGTGCGCGTACTATTCGTCTTGAATACTCTGTGACATCACAGCTATCCAAAGGTCTCGCAGGCGGATTAGATTCTTATAGGTAGGTCGTCTTGCTTAAATGTGAGCTTGTTTTTTTTATATTCAGCTATTCGAGCATTTTAATTTTTTTTATGTCGCGTTATAGATAGCACCCATTTCTGGATTCTTGGATAAATCCTGAACTTTAAATTTTGATTTTATTCGAGTGGACACTTTTTGCACATCATATGTTTTTACTCCTTTCTTAGCTGCTATAGCAGGATGTTTCAGACATCTTATGATCGGTGGCAGAAGAAAAAAGGAGGAATTATGGACGAAACTTTATAAAATGAAAAGGTGCGAGGCATTGAAAGAAAAGGAGCGAATGGTTGCAGTGCGTTGTGGGTTTGTTTCAGGAATGGTTATTATACAATGCGCAATTATTTATGGTTTTCTGAATAAAAGTTCGCATTGTTTACTTATCATCCTTTGTTTTATATATAGGCAGGTAAATGTAGCTTCTGAAAAGATTCGATTCCGTGATTGCTTTCTTCCATTATCATCTTGAACATGTGTTCCATCCGGACGCTGGATAACGTTGATCTTAATGTAGTAGTTGTTGAAGTTTCTGAATTTGTTGCTCGCGTTACCACCAACTTCGGCTTGGTGCAGTACTGCTGCTTTTTCTTTGCAAGGATTTCTTCTATCCTTCTCTAGAGAACAGCAATTGTGGTCGTAAATTTTTAATCTATAGTAGGTTGTACTGCATGGGCGTATCAACTCGATGACCAGAGGCGAAGCTCTTTTGGTGATTTCCAAACTCTGGACTTTTTAGCACTATCGTGCAGATATTGTATTTTGCAATACTCATTAGTGAGCTGCTTCTAATCCTAAGGGCAACTCATCTCAATTTATTAGTTACTCTTGAATTGAAGTCCTAATCAGCTTGATGTAATCGAAGAGATGCAGTGTGAGGTTCTTCGGGCGCCACCTTGCCGTTGAAGTCGCTAATAACCTTGTGAAAGATTTTTGCGGAGGTTTATAGAGAACAATGTATCCTCAGTCTCACCTATCCTGATGTACGGGGAAAAGGACGAACTTTGCCAAGGCGGCAACTGGTCCGCATTTATCCAGTGGTTAACGATCTGTTTGCTTCTTTAGTTGTTCAGAAGATTCGGTGTTCGTAGCTAAACAGCAAGAATTCGACTCTTCTACTCTATATTCTCCAATGAATATTTCTTCTCTAACAGCGCAGACGCGTCAACTAGTGTCTTGTCAAGTCGGCCAATCCGATGACGCTGCACTTAGTTTCCCTATCCTTTTTCCTCCTTTTTTCCTTTTCCGTTATCAGGTCTACCTGTAACGAAATAATCAAATACTGGTGTTCGTGCACTGTAAGTACAGATGGTCATTGTTGTCCTTTTAGATTTAGGGCAGTAGAACGCTTAGAGATTCTAGCCATTTTGTTTTTTTTTCTGGTTTTATTACGGAAAGTAAAAGTCTGTGTGCGATTTTATCCTAAGTATTTACAGTTGCAGTTATATTATAAGTTTTCAGGTGTAATACCATGCGAAGAAGGTTTTGATGCAGATTCTGGAGTTTCTGGGTCAAAAGCGCCTGATCAACTGAAGAATTTATCTATGGAAGTGAAATCTGATGTTGATAAGGTCGGTATTTCAAGAGCTCTTCATTGTGAATTTCGTTGTCTTGTTGCTAGCTTTTTAACAGCTACTAGTCTGCAACAATGTTGTGGGTTACGGTCTAATGGCAATACTGTAGCTGAGATTACCGCCGTTAAATAAGCGATGAATGAATAAATATTCCATACCAGGTGAGAGTCTCATTTGTGATTTTCCGAGTTTTAGAATCACGTCGTTGAAGTGTTGACAATGGATCTCATCTCCATTTTCTGCTGGTTTGTTATCGATTCCGGACCGCAGATGTCTGCGGTGGGGAACGAACGCCCTATTAACCTTTACGGGGGCTAATGTGTTCTCCACCACACCATGCGGCTCAATTTCTCCCAACGGTTTATCGCCTCATCGTGGCTGAGAGGTGTTCCTGTGTGTCAGACTGCGATGTACAGCAGGTGGATTTATTCCCTTGGCAGGGTTCCCTAAGCTGAGAACGAGTCTGGCGTTTCCATCAGGAAGCCTAGCTAAGAGTAAGCCAATACCAGGATCCACCATCGTCCTTGTTTCAAAGTCGTATGGCGGCAAATCTCCCTCTGATCCACAAGAACGACGACTACCTGTGGTGGTGAGGACCCGAGACGGACTTTGGCCAGTATGACCGCGGGATTGCAGGGAACAACAACGACTTAACCAGCAAATCTCTGGCAAATGGAGATTTTGCTGGGGCCCGCACAACGAGTGAGGACGGGCCGTCCAAGTATGAAGTATCAAGTTGTTATCAGTTCAGCTTATTCTAAAGTAATTGCAGTCAGGTTTTACCGGTATTTGTATATGCTGCACGTTCTCATGTTAATATCTATCAAATAAAGTCGTTTAACAACCTTAACTCTAGTAATCTTATTGTTTTCGACTCTATGCCACATTCACGCATGAAGTTGCAAAGTCCGTGTTAATAGATAATCGTCCAGAAGATGCATTCGGCTGCTAATCGGCAGCTCTTTTTGGTGGAAACGGTTTTTTTGGCTTTTCGCAGTGTAGTCCCATAACATTTGAGAGAAACAGTAGCCATGGAGTTCATTGGTCACATCATTCAGTATATTTCTTATCGTTCATATGCATAACACTTGCATCTATTCCGAACTATGACTGGGAAAGTAGTCTCTGAAAATAAAGTGCGTGATGTATAAAAGAGAATATTCTAGACAATTACTTGATACTTGATACTCGAATGGCTCGTCATCACTAGTTGTACTGGTTAAACCATTGTGGTTCCCCGGAATCCAGAGGACAACCTGGCCAAAGTCTTCCCCAGGTCGTCACCACGACAGGCAGTCGCAGCCCTTGTGGATCAGAGGGATGTTTACCACCATTCGACTTTGATACGAAGACGGTGGGGGAACCTGGTATTGGTTTACTCTTAACTAGGCTTCCTAAGAGAAACGCCGGACTCGTTCTCAGCTTGAGAGATCCTGTTGGATGGACGAATCCCCACATTGTACATCGCAGTCCGACACCCAGGAACACCTCCTAGCCACGATGAGGCGGTAAACCGTTAGGAGAATCGTAGACAATTATAAAAATAGAAAAGCAAATCGCACAGCATGCATAGGCTTGGATGAATATCTTTTCTAATGTTTATTTTATTGCGTAGAGCTCCTTTTTTCTATACCTTGGGTGAAACCTCGCTTTTCCGCCACACCTGTGTTGGGTATCGCCTGGAGGTAGTCAAACAATTTTTGGGCGAGTTTGTCATTGCGCCGCGGACTAGCGGATGAGATATCTGTAATATCCTAAATCTCTATTGGCTTCACCTGATCTTTGTGATATGTTTCTGCACAGTAACTGCAAATTGGTACCGTCTGGTGGCGATCTAATTTCTCATCGGTAAGCCTAGTTAAGAGTAAACCAATACCAGAATCCACCACCGTCCTGGTATCAAAGTCGTATAGTGGCAAATCTCCCTCTGAACCACAAAGGCGGCGACTGCCTGTCGTGGTGACGACTTGGGGCAGACTTTGGCCAGACTGTCCACGGGATTCCAGGAGGCCACAATAGTTTAGCCAGCGCGACCCCGAAAAGACGGAGGTTATGCTGGGATCCGCCCAAACAGTGAGGACGCTGTACATAGCGGTCCGACACCGTTCAAGTATCAAGTAAGTAACTATTGCTTTTAAACTTACCGCTCTTGCCGCGCGGCATTGACGAAGTCCGTTTTCACGAAGATAAGAAGCGTCTCCGAGATGTTCTTTGATACTTCAACATCGACCTTATGACGATCTACTACGAACTATCCAACTTTATCACTATCTGATAGTCTAATGATTTCTGATTTCATTGGTTCTCAAACTGGTCGCACATCACAATTCTGCATTGCTACATAGTTGGAACCAAATCTCTTTTCGGTGGATAAAGGGGGTAAAGGGTTTTGAGAGTTTTGCCCAAAACTATCGAAAATTGTCGTCCACTTCGTCTTTAGGGTCTTGCTGATCGATCAAACTCAAGGAAAATGAGGTGGTGTTAACGTTCTCTAATATTTCGTCCCTTAACGTTTTTTTCATAGCACACGTAAGCAGTGGCACAGATTTCACAAAATACACTCGAAACCCTGATTTGTCGCAAAGAATCTCACTGCGCTAATTGATATACAAATACTTCCTTTAAAAACAAACTTTGCCGACGTCCCAATTAGTTGAGAAATGTTTTTCTGTGCTGTTGTTGCTGTCGTTTTTGATGTCCTCTCAATGGTTCAAGTCGGAATTAAAAATCGGAAATCAAACAGAATTAAATTAGTCAGAACAAGTCAAGTTTTCAAGTTAGGTTATGCACATGAGAAGTTCGACAAAATGGAGCTAGCCTCGAAGTGTATACACGAAAAGAAATCATTGTCTTAATATTGGAAATGCCTTGTGTTCAATAGGTTGCTGATTCATTTTCCGTCGTATTTCATCGATGTGCACAAGTTATTTAGCTCTTCACAATGCCTCCCTTTCAAAGGAGCTGAGTAACGCATTTGTTTCCATGGTTTGCCAAAGGCAGTTTTTTCTGTGACTCTTCAGCGAAGAAGATAATGAATCTAACCCACACGCAATACGCAGCAAGTTTTGCTTATATGCTGTAGTAAGCTTCTGCAGGCGCTATTTGTGGAACCAACACATATGGCGGCGGCGGCGCTCGCTCCAGGGTATTGAAGAGCACACCGCCGAGAGTCTTGGAGTGACTCGAAGGGGTTGGCACTACGCAGGCTGGTCTTACATGAAGCGAAGTGAACTACGAAGCACATCAACAGTTCTCTTAGTTCGTTAAGCCGAACCTGTAGAAGTGGAACACAGCGGAACGTTTGAAGTATTTCATGTTGGGAACTACGAAGTGGATTGTTGCGAATTGGATACGATGCTGATTGAAGTAGTAATCTTAGTTTGCTAACCCAGTACTTATCCAATTGCTTAAACAAATCACAGTCTTTCTCACAATTACCTCAATGTTTCTGAATTGTCTACTTAATGCGTGTCCTAATAGCCCGTGAGTCGTGAAGTCCAGCTACGCTGCCACCCAATTTGCAAACGTGTCGAATGATTCCGCTATGCGAGCTATCCTCGAACTGTTTATATAACACTGAGAAGTAACAAACATCTATGGCCGACCCATTCAACAATTGGTGGTTTTTTTAAACGAGTTCGTAAACTTCTTGAGGCTTTTTGGACAAATACCAAAAATCCGAAAATGAATAGCAGGCAGGAATGCCCCGAGATCACACCTGATCTCGCCCCGTACCTTCGCATCGGTCGTTGGTGTGAGGAGGTACAGTTGTCAACCATATGCGACGCTGAGCGGCTGTTCTTCCTCAGTGGGAGACAGGTGTAAAAAGCGGTGGGGTTTTTCGAGAAGCCGTAGATCTTGTAATTATCGTGCAGATTTTCATTTTTCTGTTTGCGCTGTTGAAGCGTTTGACCTAGTGAGTTGCGTATTAGTGTACCCTTCCAGGTTCTGAAGAAGGCGATTCTGCTGAAACGTCGGCCGCGGTTGAGTTGTATGTGTGTTATTGTATGGAGGTAACGTATGTTGTTTAACAGCGTCGCCATTGCTGAGAAAGAAAACGACAGATTTGTATTTTTTTTTATTTGCTTGCATAAATCGGTTACATAAAATACTTGGATTGTAGCACTTTGTTATTTGATTCTCGTTTAGCGTCCGTCGCCCGCGTTTATATCTGTTCGGTACTTCTTCATAAGCGATTTTTAGATGAACGATTCTATTGCCGTGAGTCAGTTACAATTACGAACCCACTGCTTGCATTACAACCCGCGTCACAAATCCTCTAACTGCATCTGCGCTCCTTAAAATACCAGAGACTTGAGCACGAACATTCGTTGCAGTAGAGTAGGCTATAGGAACGGGCAAGTTGAAACCGGTAATGTTGAGAGTCCTTTTGCTCACTGTAGCTAAATTAAACGACTTCCCTTTCGAAGAAATAAAAATTGAAAGAAATTTCGTATTTTTCTTGGATGAATGAGTAAAAGTTCTCTGTTTTTACGAAAATGTTCTTCACCGTTCAATGATGGTTCTTTAACAGTGATAGAGTACGAGAGATATCGAAATGGCCTAGGTTTAACAATCTTCTGAAAACACCTAGGTCTCCTGGAGTCGTTCCACATCTCGAAGCTGCAATGATGGAGAGAAGAGAGAGCAACAGCAGAATTGTTAGTGCCATATTTCCCAAGCTTGTCATCATTAAGACAATCACTGCTGAAAAATTTAGAAAGCAGCGTGTTTTTGCCGCCTCAGCAGAATGCAGAATTTCCTGCTTCCTATAGAGTTACTAGGAAATGAGCAAAGAAATTCTCGTAAGCATTTGTATTGTAGTGAAGCATAAGCCGGAGTCTTCAACATTTCCTTAGGTTCTACGTAGCATAGGACCGCTCGATTCAATGCAAAAGCCCTGCAATCGTCACTTTGATTGCAGTCAGCAATAGCATTGAGGACCGTACTAATCTGAGGCATATAGAAAGAAATCAGAACTGAGGTATAGCGTACGTCAAACGATAAATGAGAACTACGTATGTAACAGCGATCACTTAGAAATAGTTCATCGAATAGGCTGTTTTATCAACTGCTCCAGGTTAAATTGAGTTCCGCCCATCTTCTTTT